CACTCAAAATTTAAGTGCTTGCATTGTTTGTTAACATCAGCTTTAGCAAAAATTGTAGCAACCCTCAACTGACGAAATACACCTGCGATAACCAGAGTGGCGCGGGAAAGGCAAACGGAGAGAATGTGGCCATAGCTTAGCCTTACACAAACAGGTACTGGGCTAAACAACGAAAGATTTAACGCATCGACAAGAGCAAAAAAACATTACGTAATTTCACCCATTTGAGCACCTTTTTGAACATAAACTGTCTGATTGGAGTTTTATGTTTGATGGAAAAAATCTGAGTGATGACTACATTAAATGTCTTGGTGGTCCGGGATGTGGCCCGCGAGTCACCTGTTGCAAAACCCCGTCCTAAATAATAGCCCAAAGTTTCATGCCCCCACAAATCTTTCCCAAGCATTTTTAAACCGGAGTTTTAAACCATAATATAAGTTCCAGCATAACAAAGATAAGTCTGGCATATATATGATTATTTTTAGTAGTGCGTTGTTGATAAAACGTGTTTCTGATTGTGTGTGAACGCTCAGTAATCTGTCTGAGTGTAGTAAGGCAGTTTTTTAGTTGATTACTGCATTTTTTCGTATACTGACATAATACGCCCCTCAGCGGATTGGCTATTCCTATGAAGCCCAACCCTTCAACCATCAATTGACCAAAAAATGAATCAAATCAGTATATTAAAGTATGCATGTGATTGAAGAAAACTACTATTTTAAAATCAAGTTACTCACATGTCACAATAAGATATTGCTGTAACCAATGACATTAAACAACATGATGCGCAACTCCGGCATTTTTGTCCGAAGATCGTATTCGATAGCACGCTCCAATGCACATACTTGACGAGACGAAAACGAGCGGATGTGTGCTACTTTCAAGGCGTAGCACGAATGGTGTTCGTGCCTGCTTTGACAGTTGTTGTCGATTTTAATGATATTTTTGAAAGTTGGGGTAAAAAGAAATCGGTAAAAGGTAAGGTGAATACTATTGTTGTATATCACACCCGGGCATCGCACTGTTAAGTACATGTGGGAAAGCCAGCCTTTGTCAAATACTACGAAGTTATTAATTCAGTACGGTACGTAGTTGCCCATTTGCCGAAATTACATATTTACTTACCCCTTATGGTTTCAAATAGTTCATGCACCTCCAGTTAGATTTTTTTAATCAGTGAGGATATATACTCATTGTTGATTGCTGCTCATTGTAACATACTATTACGCATTCACTTTTATTTGCGTATTGAATCAAAGTGTTAACAAGTTCACCTAACATTTCACTCATACCGGTCTATATTGTATAGTCTGATTTCTCAAGTATTTGGAGCCCCGAATGCTTGTAATTTTCTGACTAAACCCTTTCATTAGTTGGTTTATATACCAAATTCAGTAAAATATTTTTTAAATAAAACATGAGATATTGGATTTATTAGCTTTTCCATTCTGAATCATATAGACTGCTTTATTTATTCTTAACGAAAATTAATAAATCTCCTCTCTTTCTTCAGATGTGAAAGTTGTGGACAAACCTGTCTAAGCATTGTGAGACTCTTGCAGCACAAGAGGCAATAGCAGAAATAGTAAGTATATCAATCAAGAAATTAAGCCGACATAAAGCAAAACTTTCAACTATTCGTCTAATCTCAATTTCCTATTATTTATTCACAGGACAACTATAGCAGACGGGGAGATATCAGAAGTCTGGCGACATATCAGTGACAGTGTGATTCCAAGAAATATAATGCAATTGAAAATTGCAATAGAAAAACAACCTATGGAGGCATGCAAAGACATTTGACCCTCCGGTAGAGTTGTGTATGGCCCCCACATCCTGCAGGGCTTGAGGAAAATAACTAAAAATTCCAAAGCGTAAGATTGCATAAGCGGTCTTATTTGTAAAAAGGCACAAAACACGCCAGACATACTTAAAACAGCTTTGGAAATGAGGATTACGGGTACCTCACTGCACCTGTGTTATGTTTGGTTCATCAACTTTTGGTAGTACTATAGAAGAAATTCCGGAAGGGGTATAATCATCATTCATGATAAAATACTATCATATATTTTTTGAACAACTTCAATCTAGACCAGGGATCTCAAACTCGCGGCCCCAGAGAACTTCCAGTGCGGCCCTCGAACGCTTAACAATAATTGTAATAGTATTTTTGAAGTTTTTTTTTTTTTATCTAAATGTAATAGATTTTTCAAACCTTCTAAAGTGAAATTGATTATTCACACAGAAAACAATTTACTGAAAGTAGTTTTGGAATATTAATTTTTTTGTCCACATTTTGACCCAATTAAGAATACACATCAAGCTAGCAAAAGAATACATGAATAAAACACTTGAGTAATTAAATTGAACGCAAAGTACATGAAGAAGGTGGCATTTTCGAAGAAAATGGGAGTTGTAACATTTCTGCTCTTCACAAAATTCTGAAGCACATTGTTTAATTTGTCATATTTCCGTCAATACAATCAAAAAACACAATAAGCTCAGCAGTCAATATGACAAATTCGAAGACCAACTTCGAACAGAAAATTTCCATGTGTTTGTATATTAATATAATTATACAACGACTTAGTTACTAAAAATCAATATCAATAATAATTCAAGCAATCCTATGCCACGCAATGTAGTGCGAAATGTCTTGTCGAAAAAATCTGTCATTTGTTTTTTTACTGATCTATACATGAAATGATAAAAGTAACTTTTTTGCATTACTGGAATTAATTAAACATTCGTAAAGATCCAGATAAACCCATGATCATGTAGCCTCGTTAGTTAGAGTTGGTACTATAAAATCATTTCAGACTGGCCTTAGTATGCTGGTGACACAAAAAAGATGCCAAACGCCAGGACAAATGTAATTATTAAAATATTGAGTTTATACTGTAGTATTTTTGTTAATTTTAGGTTCATATATTTAGATTAAGTTATTTTTAGTGTATGTATTATTCTTTCCTTATTCAAAGCTTGTTCAAAAATGATTTTGATGGTTGTACATAGAATTTTACGATTTTTTATAATAAATACTGTAACTTGCAAATGTTGCAATAATAGTGGAATGCAAATATTAATATGTAATTGCATTTGAAATTGAAGAAAATAATAAAACTTAATCCAACTGTTTAGTTGCATCACAATATATGTCACAAACTAAAACTATCTTAAAAATATCTTTTAAGTATACATTATCAAAAACTGTTTGCGGCTCTTTTTACAATTTTCAAAATGCAATGCGGCTCTCGAAAACCCATGAGTTTGACACCACTGATCTATTCTAGACGATTCAAGCATTGCTTTGGGAAATTATATCACTTCAATTAAATTGAAATAATCTCGCTATATTAAATACAAAATCGTTGCTATCATAAAGGTAAACCAATTCAGCCACTTGAAATATATTGGCCTTCACAAAGCAATGGAGGCAAAATTGAGAGTTCATGAGCTATGAACATTTGTTCTTTTCTTTGTCTTGAACTTTCCATACTCCACAGCCCCTATTAATTTTTTTTAATTTTCAATTACCATGTGATGGTCATACATATCTTTAACTTGTATTTTCTGTCATGATGTATTATCTCAATGTGCCAAACTATTAATTAGTGTGCATATTTTGCTTCCAGATGACATAAATGTATTGTCATGTTTATTACTTCAGCTCGGAGTATTGGCAAGAAAAAGGTGCCAGTAAATTAGGTAAAAAAATTTTCAACTCATTGTTATAATCAGAATTCACAATCAATAGGAATTATAAACAGCCAACAATCAGTGAGAATTATATGCGAAATCCCTCAGAATAAATTTGTCTAAAATCGGAGGAAGGCAAAAAATATAGGTAGTTTCCATCCACACAAGCATTTCAAGAAGACTTGCTCGAGCCAAACTAAATGAGCATCGTCAGGTGATCGGTAAGGCTGCAAGTTGAATTCAGCCCTGCAACCTCCTGCATAGAAGATAATATTAATTAGTAGGCTATGAGCTAAATTCCTAAATTTAAACAAACCTATCTACGATGCATTATGTACCAGCAATGTTACCTACGATTAACTGAATATGTAATATGTCTAATAAATTCACCTACAAAAGCAAGTTCGATAGGTGCAAACTTTGTGTTATGGAATTGTATCGCAGCACAGTTTTGTATGACACCCTCTTTAAATGAAATTTCAATGATTAAGCGCAAACATTAAAATTACTAACTTTGAACTTTGTCATTATCTGCAAAATGTTCCACACAAATCTTTCCGCTATCGCGTTTGTAATCTTCTCTGATAAAAAAAACGTCTATGATGTCCAGAATTGCTCTTTACAGCTTGCCTGTTATTCCAGCTTTCCAAGTAAGCAAAACTTCTTAGATATAGAGATTATTTTGTTTCGTTACAGGCGCAAAAAGGCAGGTACTACACGTAAAAAAGACGCCGAGTAGCAAAAGCGAGCGGAAAACGGACGCGAAAGGCGACGAGAAATATGTGCATTGGAGCGTATCATGAAATACAATGATTTGCCTGTAGTGTTATGGAGTGACGTCAGAGTTGCCTATCATGTTGTTTAATGTCATTGCTGTAACACTGCAAGCTTTGCAAAAATCTAATACATAGCTTTTGAAGGCCAAATGTAACGATTAGATGTGGTGCATGTGACCCATTTGCAGTAGTCGTTTAGGGTACAAAAGAAAATTAATAACGGTTTTGCTGATTATCAAAGCATTCCAAGAACAAGTTAGCACATATTACATCAACGACTATATACGACTGAAAAACGCCTAGTGTTTCAACTAATGAATGCATAGTTTGGGAAATACATCATTAATTTTCCTGGTTATATTTGCATATACCAATTTATACTTAACAATGGGTAAGCTCCTTTCCGAAACGAAGTCAAACGTCCGAGTCAGTACGAAATTAATTATATTCGATATCTGTGTTTGTATTTAGAAGTAACTTAGAATAGCTTAATTAAAAATGAAAAAAAATTAAATTAAAAAAATTAAAAAAAGCCCTAATTTGGATTTTAAAAACATGAAAATAGAAAACCTACCAAATCATTGTTTATCTCGACTTTCTTGCATTTCAAAATAAATCTGTGTTTCGATAAACATGACCCAATTTATATTACTTATTTTTTATCCATTTTTCGAAAATATTTTTCTATCATCTATTAGAAAGAGCAAATTATTTGTCTTTGGTCCACACAGCACGTAAGTATTCATTCACAGACAAAATGAGATTGCAACCTGCCAATCGAAAATTTACACAAAAATGTTTTACAACAGCAACCTATAAAAAATAATCTGATAAAACTGAACTTCTGGATGGAAGAATATGTGAATAATATTATTCAGTAATCTTTGCAAAATTTCAATAGACAAGTCGAATGTGATATACAAACTGGTATATGTTAATTTCATATGGAATGCTTGTATATACTCATTACTAAAAAAAAAACTTTCGCGGACATACATTGACTCGTAAAGACCTTTCATGTTTTATAGAAAAAAACAGGGTCTTCTCAATTCGTTCATTCTGATTAGGATAAGAAGCTTATATTTTTCTCTTTTGGAAGAGGAAAGGAAACAAGACGACTTAGTCACATGGCGAACCACGGCCTCTTGTCCAGTTATCAGGCCATGCTAGGTATGGGGAAAGGAAAATTTTTAGAAACAAGTTTCAACTGTTTAAATATACACAGAATATTGATGAACCATCACGGAGTATTTCATGTAATTACCATTTTTAGTTTTCTCTAAAATCACTTCCATGCAAATGGGGTAATGAAAGTGCTGATTCCAGGCTCCTCCTGAACCATTAAATGCATAATAGCCTTGGTCCCATCGCATAAATTAAAACAGCTTTTTTATGCACAAATCAGGCTGAAATGAGCAATTAATAAAAAAATATATATATATACACACAGCTTGCAAAATTCGTGATATTTTTTAAAATTTTGAAACCGAAAATTATCACTAAGTACTGTGAATTACCAGATGTTGATACACTAATTAGCCATTATTAATATAAAACAGTCTGATGAGATTGTCCATTATTAGACACAAAGTTTAGCATTCTACATATCTACATAATTATTGGAATATAATGGAAAGAATAAAAATAGCAAATCCACGACTCATAAGTGACAAATTCTGCTTTAGCTACATAGATAAGCCCACACTTCTGGGTTAGGATAGATATAAAATAAAACTTTAGGCAAATGGCAGAGCAAGCATATGAAGCATACAAGTGTGGGACAATGAATATATTTCAGACGTCTCCACAGGTAAGTCAGATATCATAGTCTTTAATGCATGAAAAATGATTAGATACATGTCCAAGCTATTTAACTATTTAAAAAAACTATTGAAATGTGATTAGATATTTAGGATAAGCACTTGCATCTTTAAATATCACCCATATCGTAGGAGCAGAGATGCGATCTACTACACTGTCATGCAGATCAATGTTACTGTTTGTTCTCGGAGGTGGTGCGACCATACTTGAATCTCCCTTACAGTAATATCCTGTAACGACATTGGCTAGGAACATTCTTTTTTCTCCTCTACTATTTGGATGAGCATAACGTTGAGAATAAGTTGCATTCAGAGCAAAATAAACACCCTTTCCATAAGCAGTAGCTGTTAATAAATTCATCCCATTACAATTTATTTTTATGAAGAAAGTTGCTCAAAGCAAGGCCATACGTACATCCTGAAATAAAACAGATTGATCACAGAATGAAGTTACTGTCTCTAAAGTCCCAAGAGCTAGGACATGATTCTACATATTTATCCTGGTGGAGAGGAAATCTAATAAGATGGCTTAATCATATGGTAAACCATGGCCTCACGTCCGGTCACCAGTCCATGTCAGGTATGATTAGGCAGCCAGTTATTTGTTATTGGAAGCATGGACTTGATGGTGGAGTAAGCCGTAACCGTACAGCGGATACGTGAACCACCCTATAGCGGCGAGGAATCCAGCAATCCTCTTGCTAATAATCACCCCTGTTCATGTCAGTGTGATTAGGAAAGATAGTAGTTGTCTCACATAACTGAATATCTTTATAAAAATACTGTTCTACATGATGATATTGAAGTTTTATCATCAGTCTACAAATTAATTTCTAAGAACATTCATATTTCGATAGTATAGATTTTATTGTGCAAATCGAAAATCTAATCACAAAAATTCGCACTGTCGTTTATGCATCAGCCCATTTGATGATTTTGAGAGCTTTTTGAGGGCCAAATAAATTAGTCCTAATAAACAAAATTAAAATAAAGTATACCAGTTATAAATGTGTTTTATTTTTTCAACCTTTTCATTTATGAATATAATTTTAAAAATAAATATATAAATCTGCTTCAATTTCCAATGTAAGTTTTAAAATTTGTTTTGCATTTTTCAAAGCCGGATAAAAATAATCAACTGGCACTGAACAGGATGGCACCATAACAACTATATTGAATGTTAGCTAAAGCACTAAGGACGTCATCGAAATGAGAGCACGATATAGGGTTATTCACATAAATCTACTCTTGCGACAGAAATATCAGACAAAGAATGAAATTTGAAATTTATCTAATAAAATTTCGACATCATGCATCTACCTACCATTTTTTCCAGCATAGCTTCTGTCAAATCCATTTTGAATTATTTTATCCTCATCAGTCGTTCCGTGGAATAATTCTCTCTCAACTTGAACTCCTGATCCTTGGAGATTCCCTGTTACTTCTGCCTTTTTGGCAGCATATTGCTTATACAAGGATACATGCTGTATTCTTTCAATCTGGTAGTGAAATGTTTACAAATATTAGGTCTTTCAGGATTGGTGGTGACTGTGCATCTTTCTGAATATTAGGAAAACTCCTATCATCACTACACCAACAACCCACCATGGGATCGTGGATTTAAATCTCATGTTGAATATGTGCGAGAGGATTGCTGGAATCCTTGCCATCATCGAGCTGTTCATACAACTATGATCCGGTATGGCTTGCTCAAGAGTCAAGACCCAAGTTGCTGCTTTGAAACATATGACCGGTTAACTATTTTCTGTGCTCCTAGTCGGATAAGAAGCCATGGTTTGCCATAAGATTAAGTCATCTTAGCAATATTCCTATTACTTTTCCTCAGGATATAAAATGAAAATACTAAAAATAAAGTGTTTATCAAACTTGCATGCTTTGTGGCCCATTTCTGGAGACTCAAGACTTGTGGCTCCTTGCCTTTTTTAAAAAAAAAAAAAAAGTTTTGCATATGAAGCGGTTCCATCGGTTATTTTATGTCCCCCATGCTCTTTACAGTCAACAAATTGAATTAATTATGATCATATAACTAGATGAGGCTTTTGTTCATAGTCATAACCTTCAAAGAATCACTCTATTCCCCTTCTAGGTTGGCTGAGGGTCAGTTGGAGGAACCCTGCATCAAGACCATTGCACCTTGAAAGTAGGAACCTAGCTTTGTTAAACTCAAATATTTACAAATCCAAAATATAAATTTGAACTCACATGAATAATAGTCTGATGAAATTGGCCCGATGCTATGAATTTTGTGAGAACTGTTTGATATTCTGGAGATGTTGAACTCAACTTAACTTTTATCAGTTGTTGTCCTTTCATGTCAGACCAATAGTCAGGTAAAACATCTTAAGAAAGATAAGATAGGATTCACATATTTATCCCATGGAACAGAAAAAGCCAATAAGACGGCTTAATCATAGGGCGAACAATGGCCTCTCGTCCGGTTAACAGTCCGTGTTGGGTATGGAATTAGTTGAGCAGTTATTAGTTTTCAGATGCATGGACTTGATGAAAGAATATTGATAATTCTAGCAGGAAGAAGACACTACAGTATAAAATTTGTGCAAGCGTAATGCAAGAATTTCGAACCACATAAATTATTTACATAGATATTAGGCTTAAGCAGAGATGGGCAAACTACGAACTGCATGCAGCAAGCCAAAGCATTTTGTGTGACCTCCTGTCCTTGAAGAAAATTTCTTACCGCTACAGACAACATTAAGATATATTTTTAAATGATATATGAAATTTATATTGACACTATCACAGTTAAGAGTTAACTAGGTAATTTTCTCAATGCGACCCCTACAAAAAAACTTTTTCCATCCTTGTGCTAATACCTATACATATGATTGTTTGAACTTTCACTAACCGTCAGCACTTTTTTCATTTATTTTTCTTCGAACTTTTGGTGGATTGCTGCCATGCAAGTCATTCTCTACTGTAGAAAGGTCAACGATAGTCCTGTGCAGTGCATTGTTTTTGTAGTAAGGAACGTTTATCCTGTTCAATGTTGGATCAGTTTTGTTGCCATTGCGAGCCTAGTTTGAAAAAAATAAATAATATTTTTGTTTTTGTGATGATGTTGGAATAGGATATTTAAATTTATTCTGTGGGAGAGAAAACTCGATAAGACGGCCAAATCATGAGGCATACCAAAGCCTTTTGTCCGGTAATCAATCTATGTCAGGTATGGTATTAGTTCGCCATTTCTTTGTTCAGATGTATAGACTTATTGGTGAAGGTAGCTGTAACTAACTGTATTATGAACCAGCCAAAAATTCATGTCCCACTTACAACATTTCACCCTCATGTGCAGCATTTGTCCTATTTGTAACACTGTTCTGGGTTGAGATAGATATATAAAAACTTCATACATCATTAATCGTCATACGATTCATGCTTTATGCTGGTTTAGGATAGATATGAAATATTAGGCAAAGAGTTAGAGTAAGAATATGCTAGAATAGAATTCATACTATTGGGACACCACAATTTGAGATTCCAGTATTCATTATCAGTGTTTTATTCAGAAACTTGTTAGCATAAGAAGTGGGATTAATACAGTTAGTACAAGTGTAGTCTGGCATTTATAAGATACCAGTATTAATGGCGCTCCAGAAGTACGTGTACCAATATGGAATGGAGAAAACTAATTTTGTTCGCCTACTTCACATCAACGGACGGAAGCCTATGTCCAGAGGGTATTCACTTGGCTAACACAGACAGTCCCCGAACTCATAAGAGAACTTAAATAGGGAAAATTGGAATAAAACCATGTCTTAACCCTAACCTGATACACATACTACGTGAGTACCGTATAAATTAAGTTTTAGTCATATACATATTTCTTCCTATATACCTTGTAAGCAACTTCTAAGACGTGAGCAGACCGAAGTTGAAAGTTATCCCATCTATTTGAAGAAGTTTGTCTTTGCCATGTAACATACTGTGATGAGGTTTCAGCAGATACGAAGTTTTTTAGAACAGTTTTAATTTCATCACACGATTTGAAAACATTCGCCGTCATGCCTTCGATTGACAATCTTTTTATGTATCTAAATTTTGATATTAAAATTAAAATTGAAAAAAACTTATTTCTGGTATGTGTTAGTTGACATGACTCATGTTTCAAACTTTTTCAAAAGTTTTACTTCAATTCCAGAATTCCTCCATTTTTATTTGTGTGTATGCAGAGTTTAAAAATATATCTATCTATCTAAGATATTGATCCTATGAACAAACACGAATGTTAAATTAAAAGATTCCCATGTCCATGCATCTAAAACAAATAAGTGTTAAACTATGCTCATATCTGACATAGACTGGTAACCGGACGAGAGGACGTGGTTTGTCGTATGATTATGCCATCTTTTCAAGGTTCCTCTCTTCTGGAATAAATACACAAATCCTATCTAATATCAGTACACTCACCTGTTTGACTCATCTGAAATAGTGACCTTGTTTCTCTTGGCAACCTCATAAATTTCAAATCGTTCCCATGACGATAGTCTACCAATTGCATCATCATCAATCGTTTGTTTCTGTACAACCTTGTTAGTTTCCTCAGTAACACTTTTAATAGCCTGAAACAAGTAACCGATGATGAGTGTACCAGTAATTTATTTACTTCTCCATAAGAATAAGCTTGATGGCAGTGGTATTCTAAGAATCCACAGTTCCTTCCAAGGGTTTGGGCAAGGCTGAACACGAAAGATTTTGATTAACACTATTGACTAGGCCGAAGTGATTATGACAGATAGGGTATAAACAGAAAGTTTGGGAAATCATGGCATAGCGCAATGAACCAACCTGCTGTATCTTCGTTTCACTGGTTGAATAAAAGTACAAATTCAAGGATTCATCTTTATGTTGTTGTCGTTGAGGAGGTATCCATCCTTTGGCTTCTGATGGAGCTGATGATGAAGATGTAAAATAACCAGAAATAGCTGAAAATACACATAGATTTCTACTGGGCTAATTCTCAGTCAGAAAATTCACAAATAGTATGGTGCCCTTATAGGTGTATTCATGCATTTTGCTGCGAACTGTGAACTGTCTGTCAATAATTTTGTGCCTGGAGGACCAAATACAATATGAAAAAAACACTAGATATATTTAGTTATTTTTCAAGTATTTGATATTCGATTCGATTCAAAAAAAACATTCGATTGACTCTGAAATCATAAAGTATTCGAAAATGCCCAGCCTTACCTATAAAGAAGGTGGAATACACGTTCGTGAATATTGATCGACTCGAGATTTGAATCAGTTCAAATTAATAGCACAACAGCTGTTAGATGATAAACACCACACAACTTGAAAGCTTAAAAAATTTTTTCAAAAAGAAATAGAAAAAACACGAATTCACGAAAAAAGTGTGCGGAATGTAGTTAAGTATACTTCATATTTGATGTTGAGAAGCATTCAAATCAGATAGATTCAACATTAAAATAAAGACAAAAAATCAACCATAATTTACTCTCATATATTCCTGTGAAAAAGCCCTTTTTCTTTGTGCTGTCATTTACAATTGCGTCGATAAAGTCTTGCAGCATAATTCGATCATAAATCACAATGTTTATTTGTTGAAGATATCTCGGATTTGATCGAACAAACTTTTCAATCGAAGCTCGCATCACTGAACTAACTGTGATGCTGTCCATGTTGAGATTTCCTGTACAAAGAAAAAATAGACAGTTGGTGAAGTTTGGTTTTTACTAGTTCAAAATGGATTATGTGTGAGAGAAATGATGGACTCCTTGCTGGTCCAATTGGAGATGAATATGTGTGAGAGATGTGATGGACTCCTTGCTGGTCAAAGGGGAAGATGATTCTAAGTAAGTGACTTACTTGACTCCTCGCTGATGTGACTTTTTAGCTACCCGACACATTGATGTAAAGAAATATTTACTAGTACAAAGCCTCTAGTATACTTATTATGAGTTTCTGAGCACACCTGTTCCTAAAGCAGGTACGCAAACAGAAGAATATTGGCTTTTCTCCACAGCATCAAAAACCTCAACAAGTTTCTTTTCAAGATCTTTAGCATCTGTTGGTACCACCAAGTGTATGATACTTCCGCAAGGTAAGTTACCACTAGAGGTAATAACATAAGAACCTTTCCCAGTAGAAGCTTCAGTTTGGATTTGTTGGCCACCCATTTGTAAAATTTTGGATGAAATCATTCCTGAAATATAAATATAAAAATACTCCAAGAGTCGATTTTGATAGGCGCAAGCCAAGTATACTCAGCCTGGGCTTTCTGTCCTTCTGAAGTGCCATGGAGCTAATTGATGTTTCGTCAACTCGGATAATAGACAATGTTTATAGATAAGCAAAATGTCTTTGACTTAAGCATCAAAAGAAGGAGAGCAAGAGAGAAAACCAAAGTCACTCAATCATGGAACAATAGAAGCAATAACACAGAATACAACCCCTGAGGGGGCCATGAGCAAAGGCATCCATGTGTATTGAGACCACAAGTGTTTAGAGTCTCTGAAAGTGGTCTACAAAAGATGAAAGTTTGAAAACAACTTGTTTAAGCTATTTCTGCTCCTCACCTTTAGTAAGGTCAAAGCCTGAATGTACGCTGTTGACGATAACATCACAATTCTGTATTGTTATATCTCCTTGATAAACTGACACAACAACAGAGCCAAATTTGGCTGAAGTAGAATTTATTTTCTGATGGAACGAAGTGCTTGAAGAAGTGGGTGGATTGTAATATGATGGAAAAGCAGTAAAAGCCGATTGCTGGTTGAATTCAGTTGTGAAAGCCTGTATAAAACAGTTCATAGTTCAGTTCTATGCTATAATTCCTTATAGCAGTGGTTATCAACTATTTTGGTGGAGCAGAACCCCAATGAAACATATAGAAAATCGAGGAACCACTGTGCAATTGTAAAATTGTGTTTTATTGTCTGAATTGTATAAGCTATAAATATATATAAAGCAAGCCTTATACTGGTAAAAAATGATATTCAAGGTGTAGTAAGTTCAAAATAGTGGCAAACCTTATAAGCGTTTGGTTATATATGAACAAAAAACAATTTTTAATATTGACTCTCGGTTTTGAATGAAACTTGCAGGTGCGGCTCATCGTGATAAGTGTTAGAATTACGCTCGCCGCTGCCTCGTTATGTGCAAGAGGGTTGCTGGACTCCTCGCCTCCATAGGGTGGTTCACATGACTGCTGGTTGATTACGGCTTCCCGCATCACTGAGTCCATGCTTCCAAAAATAACTAACTAACTAATCCTATACTCGACATGTAACCGGATGAGAGGCCATGGTTCGGCATATGGCTAAGCCACTTATAGTTTCAGTAACTCGCTTTGCTCGCCTTCCAGAATTCTCCATTTTTAATTTGTTTGTATTTTCAGATTGTAGATTCAGATTCATATCTAAACTATCTAACTAACTCTAAGCAATTTAAGGGCCACCCATAAATTTGTTGAGTGAGTGTCTGAGAGAGCATTTACCTTCCCCTCAGCAAGTGATTATCAGTGGATAGTAATTCAACAAATGAAGATTATGAGTCAATAGAAATGGATTTTCACGGTTTTTTCAAGGTTCTTGGGTGTTTTTCACGATTTTTGCATGTTCTGCATGGTTTACCACGATGAGAAATGCCGAACCCAGTCCTTACAAATGCAATAGCTTGTACATATTGTAAGACATAAGTGGAGGCTTATACAGGACCTTGTTTGTTCAGGGATGAATTACCGATAACCAAAACAATCCACTTTGATTTAAAAAAAAACATTACTTACATTTATTACAGCTTGGTTCCCAGGATAAAGTAGAATAGTTATATTCTGAATATTCGTTGCATTAAATTTAGATATTTGTGATTTCATCCATTTAGCTACTAATTGTGGTGGATGTTTAAATCCTCCTGTTGCAATTGCAGGAAAAACAATCGACCTGTAAATTGAAAGTTTTTGAATACTTATATTATCTATTCTATCTATTCTTTATTCTTCTGAACTGCCACAGGTCAAACCCCATCTTTGAATTCCAAAGTATTAATTATTATTATTTATTATATTATAATTCATTTATAATATCCATTCGCCTCTGTACAGGGCCATAAGCAAATAATCGTAAAAAAATTATTTATGCTATTTTGTGAAAGCTCTAGAGATGGAATTATAGTAACCGGCAATAATCATTTAAAACAACATGCTGGGTGAACTTAACTTTTTAAATATGGGCGCAACAGCCTAGTGGGTAAGAGCATGACTATGTTAGCGTCACGAGGTAATTATCTCAGGTTCAAATCCCATGCACCTGATACAGTTTGTATTGAATAAATAATCCCAAACAGTGAAGATTCAGAAATGATCGGAATCTTACCAGTTGGGCATTGCGTACCAAATTTATAACACCCTGGGTAAGGTTCAAGAAATTTGAAGACTGCAAAATAGTCAAGTCTAACGTTTTCCTTTAACCGCTAAATATTCAAGATACCATATATTTCAGCTATTAAGTCGCTTTTCTAGAACAAGTTTTTTGGCCTGATTTAGGGGGAAGAATTATCAGCCAGAAAATAAGGTGTATCAAAAATTATTATATATGTAAAGAAATTATAATAAATAAGGTAGGTAAATGTATAAACCTGTATCCAGCCCTGTCTGCCATGTTCAATGAGTTTTTCACTACTGATTTTACAATTGCTTCCGATGTATTTGCAGCATAATGACCAACAATTCCGTGATACAATTTCTGACATCCTAATCCACCTCCGCTGGTTTCAAACACTTGTCCCATGGATGGAGAGTTTATTTGAGCGCACTCTTGCTGAATGTTTATAAAAGTATTTGACATGTTGGGAACAAGACTCATACAACAAGTTGCAAATAAAAATAACAGAACCCATATATTTGTTAATTAATTCTATGAAAATAAAGAAATTTATTTAACACTTTAGCTTGTGTATAATTGTACCCAAAAGTTACAGTATTTAGGACGCTTTGCACAAAAGTTAAGTTCTATCTAAAATAGTGGTTCTTCATTTTGAATATTTAGTTCCATCCACGTATTTCAACGTGTTTTTCAATAAAAACATACTTTTCTCTTACTATATGTTATTTGTAGCTACCGGTAGTTGTTTTTGAGGTGGGCATGAGACTTGACAAATTCTAAAAACGGGGAGCGGCTTAATAAGTTCAAAAACCACTGCTCTAGAATTATGTTCCAAATGAATCGATATTAAAACTTACGAGTATTCTCTGTCCAGCTTTTTTCAACAGAGCCTTCGATACAGCAGATCCGCTCATGTCAGCAATGTGTTTTGGAGGACTTATACTAACAATCACATCATCCTGTAATGTGGAAACAGACTTTTGTTGGTTCATTTATTAGAAAATTTTGGTGCAAACCTTTTATAAATGTCCTTGTTCATGTAGTTGCTACTTTTTATGTGACGCTTGTACGCTTATTCACAACTTGCGCTCAAAACAACGCCCTACACAAGTAGCATTGTCTGCTTTATTCACATCTTTTACTTCGAAAAAGGTCCTCCTGTGCAAGTTCAAAGGTTCGTTTACTGTGGGGAATTATTACGGTAAGTGCAAGACTGCTAGACCCTACTCCATGATAAATCCTGAGAAATGCAATGCCATCCAAACTCTTAAATTCTCTCCCGTAGTATGTGTACCAGGTTAGGGTTAAGCCATACTTTTATTCCGATTTTCCTTATTTTAGTTCTATCTGTCTGTGTTAGCCAAGTGAATACACCTCCAGCCCATAGGCTTCAGTCCCTTCACACATCTCGATGTAAAATAGGCAAACAAAATAGTTACCTCCATATTGGTACACATACTTCTGGAGCGCCCAAAAATGTTTTATTTGTGCATTACTTTCTTATATTAGAATTATACTTACATTACGTGCTGTGATATCTCCTTGTACCAATGAGACATTGCATGAAATATTTAAACTTGCAACCTGAGGTTGAGTATTTTGGTTAGACTGGGCCGTAGAATTTGAAGGGGAAGAATTCGTCCCATGTTTCTTAATATTCCTCACTAACTCATCAAGAATATCTTGTTTGCTGTTTTCAACAAGGTCGATCTAAAAATAAGTTAATAATCTAATTGTCAGATGAATTCTTACTGAAATAACATTTGTATTTTGTGGCAATACTCTTTAATTGAAAAGAATGGTCATTTTCATTCCTACTACAGTAATGTTACATTATGAACGAATCTTTTAGTGCAAAAGTATAGAGAAAGAATAGCGATTTAGTTTCGTGTAATCGCATCTGATAGGGCCTATATTATAATTTGATATCTATTTTAGCAGGACTGTTAAGATAACACAATCATGTTATACCATATTTTATAGGTTCAACAAGCTTTTTCTATCGTTTTGTATTATATACTCACTATATGCGTCACCTATGCACCAATGTACGCTCTTTCGTTGCCTTTTTTTCTAATATTGATTCTATTTTACTCATCAAACTTACCTTTGTTATCACAGAACTAGCGGTATCTTTAAAATACTCTGCTATTGCTTCTAAAATTAACGGAATGCAGGTTCTTGCATTTCCACCAAAAACTCCACAACTAATTGCTGGCATGGCTATTGACTTTAGTTGATGGTTTTCAACTTCTTCAAGGGATTTTGAAACACAGGCTTTCAACAAGAGAGACGGATCACTTCTATCTGACTGAGAATCCCATCTAAGTGTGGAAAATAGAAGGACATTCATTTTGTTGAACAAATTTAGCTTGGCGGTTGGTGCATTGTGCTAATCATTAGGAATACACTTTTCATTGCACCTCTGATTACCATGCGTAAGTTCAAATCCCTTGGGGGATAATTATGTGCAAGAGAATTGCTGGACACTTCTATGTTGTGGGGTGGTTTAGGTAATTGCTGGTCACTTACAGCTTCCCCCTCCATTATCAGGTGAATGCATCTAAAACCGTGGATTTTTTTATGGGTTGTGTAGATATTTAAAAATAAAAATAAATGTTAGATTTGATCTTGTGCGCCTTTTTTTTGATGTGGGGCACAGGACTTGACAAATTCTAAAAATGGTGCACGACTTAAAATGTTCGAGAACCACTGATCTAAAACAAATAACAGAGCAGACTGTGAGCAACAAAACAGTAGCTTTTCAGAAATTATTGACTGCATGTACAGAGCCTTGTTTGAAGTCACAACTTTGTGAGAACTAGCATGAAATAGTAACCGGACGAGAGGCCATGGTTTGTCATATGATTAAGCGACCTTCTTGACTTCTCTCTGCCAAGAATAACAATGAAAATGATATTCTATATTCACTTTACTTTTTTGCATTTCATTAATTTCTACGGGGGTTTCTTAATCTGGTTTAAACGAATTTCCAAAATAACAACATCCACATACCTTGGACCAACCGCATGGACAATCTTTTTGCAAGAAGGTAAATTTCCAGCCCCAGTTAAAACTGCATCACCAGGCAGAAGGTTTCCACGGTTACTACTTATAATTCTGTTCATTTCTGTTTGAATTTGATTTCCATTTTTGACATCTTGATATAGAATGTAAAAATAAAATAATCTTCAATTTTTTATACCGAGCAGTTTATTCATTGTTGTATATTATACAGTCATAGTCAAGTTTATTTTTCCCATCCAGTGAAGTAAAAGCAAAATTCAAAGAATAATATTGAATACAAATTTCACTGAAAGCCACGGGGAACCAAAGCTGGTTATTTAGCAACGACACCCAAGGTAGAGACTATTTGGCATCATCTATTGCAAAACAGATGTGGGACCGATATTGTCACTGCATCTAGCAATAGTGCAACTAAGGAATTTATTTGCTGCTGAGACAGTTTTGTCAAAGGGGGCATAGACAAATTTTTGCGGCGGCATGAAACTAATTGAAAATAAAAATATTTGTTAGATTTGATTTTGACGGTCTTTTCTTGGATATTTACATTTCTTCATTGTTGAGAGATTGCGATTCCATCCACATATTTTCAACGTGCTTTTGAATAAAATATATGCTATTTGTAGCTTATTGTTAAATACCGGTAGTTATATTTGAGGAGGGGGCGAGACAAATTCTAAAAATAGGGCGCGGCAGTGAGCAACTGAGCATGATTGCTTAAACAGGGAATTCAACAGTTCTAGTTGAGGAATTCAACTTCGTGTTTGTGTGTAGTATTACTAATGTTTTTTACTTACTTAGTAGTATTGTAAAACAAATATTTATGTGCACAATATAGTCTTTTAACTGTCCAAAAGTTTGTGTTGTGCATATACTTAGCTAATGTTTCAATAAAGATGAAAATTGTGAACAACGATTGAAATCAGATGAAACCTCTGGCTTAGTACTAGTGGTTACCATGTTGGACCTACCTACTAAGTGGAGAATGCTTTAAAATAACTGGCGCTCCTGAAGTATGTGTACCAAGTTAGGGTTAGGCCATAATTTTAGCTACAAATACTACGGTAGTCACTTGGTTAGTCCCCAAACTCATAATAGAACTAAAATAGGGAAAAAAAATTGGAATAAAATTATGGCCTAACCCTAACCTGGTACACATACTACGCTCCGATGTCCGCATATTGCTGCCTTGCCTCTTGGTACGCATATTTCAGGTGTACCAAATAAATATTATGAAATCCAAATCATTACCTAAGTTTTTGATGACACCAGACACTCCACCTGCCAACAACTTTAATTCTGGATTTGATGTGTTTACTATGACATCACAGGTATGCTTTGTGATGTCAACTTTCCAAACAGTCAAGGTCACTGATGAATTTGCCAAGGTCACAGAAGCCAATTGTTGTGCCCTTGTATTCTATGTGACAAGAAAATAAGAAGTTAAACAAAGTAATGTAAAGTAGCATTGTATTAGGTATGTGTTGTCATTATCGAGCACCCATCCTAAGCCTACAAGTTTGAATCTGGCAGAAGATAATTCTGTGCAAGAGAATTGATAGACTTCTTCATCGTCATAGTGAGGTGCATATCACTGCCCACAGCCAGAAGAAAAGTATCCTCGTCTATTACTGAATAGAGTACTTTGCCAGTGATATCTAATGGGGAAAAATGAGGTTGTTTGCATGTCTTTCCAAGGTTAGGGATGATAGTTTACAGATTGTTTACAGATAGAAGTACTACTGGTAGCATCTGGATAAACTGCTGTCGCTGATTAACTATACATTAACATAGCCAATTTTTACACACTCACCGAAGAAGCAGGCCTTCTACTTCTCGACCTTGGGACAGGAGCTTGCTGCTTAGCCTCTGGGTTGAATTTAACCCATTCCTCACAGAGGGGCGACATTAAAATGATACAATCATTCATTTTTTCAGTTGTTGATAAAAACTTTTTGCCTCCTTTAGTATGAAAATATTCCTTAATTCCAGCGATGTTTAGATTGGTTGTCTGTTCAGTCACTTGATTTTGGAGAAGTGTTAGTGCCGAATGTGCTGTAATAATATCGTACATTAAAAGTTAGAATAGCACAATGAGATGTTTTTATCTTTATTTTTGTTAAAAGAGAGCTGACAGGCTGAAAATAGAAAGTTGAGAAGAAGCCTAATAATATGGCTCGACACATGAGGCATCACGCCAAGCATTATGAATGTGCTTGTCATCACAACTCTGATTACTCTATAATAATATCGTACGTAAAATGTAAATCCTATTATCATACTATTAATTAGAAGGACCATTTTTTTCGCTGTTTGGCATTGCCAACCCAATTTATTACAACTTTGGTTGAGATGAGATTCGAAGCCGAGATGTGGAATTGCGTTGCCAACACAGTTAACTCTAACACATTAATACCCTGGCTATCATTTAAGATCCTCTATTTTGCCCCCGCAATAAACCTCACCATCTTCAAGTGGTTTCCTTTTTCCTTCAATGCATAATCCACCTCCGTTTTCAGGAGTTAAACTACATTTTATTGATTTCTGTTTGCATTTCTCAGTAGAATATTCTTCAGATCTTTCCACGATAAATTTTGCTTGTCCATATTTCATTGTAATATAAATGCACTTGATTGAATTTTCATCCAGAAATGAGTTGACTTTGTTCTTCAAAATTCTTAATTCTGAAAGTTCTGATACTAATATGAGACTTTGATTGGACTGAAAAAGAACATAAAAATCATTTTAATAGAAACTAATTTTGGCATGTTTCCAAAGATTGCCATTGCTTATGGCCCTCTGCTCTTCTATCAAAATACCTCGTTTTCTTTTCGGTTATATTATCCGAAACGTTAATAATAAAAAGCCAACAAATTATTGTGAAAGAATAAATGCAGTATGGTGAAATAATTGAAATAATCATAGTCAATAAATGTAGTGATTGAGAATGAAACCTAGTGACTTCTTTTGATATAGGCTTAAGAGAACTGGATAAGATTTACCTATTTATCCTAGGGCAGAGAAAAGTGATGAAACAGCTTAATATATGGCGAACCACAGCATTTTTTTCGGGTATGCCATTTAAAAGTTTTCAGATGCATGGACTCGATGGTGAAGAAAGGCGCAACCGGCCAGCAGTAACGTGAACCATCCTACAGCAGTGAGGATTCCAGTAATCCTCTTTCACAAAATTAACTGATTCATGGTCTAAATTAATTTTAAAAAAATTGACTGTGGTTTGTTCGATACTTCAACTGTAAAACATTCATTCTATTGCTTTTTTTTAGTTTTTATTATTAAACGTGGCACATGCATTAACTAATAACAATGCACTAAAAGCAAAACTATACATTTTTGTAGAGGAGCAGGTGGCAAGTGATTTTTTAAAAGTGGAAAGAATCATGGAAATGGGAGAACTCAACTGAGTTTGAACCTGCTACATCTAACCAGCATATTATTCAATACAAATTTTTAACAGTGTATTTTCCACCTACTTTTATATAAAGTCCGTATATTCCAGATTTTTTAAGATTTTGTTGAAATCCTCTCCATGCAGGAGATTTCACCAGACTCGATCGAGATTGGTCTGTTTTTATTGTTTCCGTGGCAACCATTTCTTTGATAATACGAATGGCTTTTTTGAAATCGTCATCTGACCGAACTCTCAAACAAAGCTCGTCATCATCAATTCCGAGAGAAGCTGTAAGTAAACGAGTTGCATAATATGATTTTCATGTTTGTTTCATGGAGGGGGACGGGCAAAATTGAAAAGACAATACCCTCACCCTCATAATTGGGTCTAGAACCCACACAGCGTAATCAGAGCTTTGATAGCGAGTGCATTCGCTAACCCTTGCAAAGCATTATTTCATTTTATTTACAAAGAAGACCCTTATAAAATACCAGCATGTACAGTATACAATTTCATATGACATATACTATAATTATATTATCATTTGTTTGTAATTTGAATAATTATTTCATTGTGTCAGCTATTTGTATTTATCTATTATGTTAATATATGAACACAGTCAGTGTTAATGAACAAATTTATATACTCTCATAGTGTATGTACCAGGTTAGGGTTAGGCCAATATTTCAATGCGATTTTCCTTATTTCAGTTCTATTACGAGTTCAGGACCTCCCTGTGTTAGACAAGTGAATTTCCCCCCTGCCCATATGTTTCAGTCCCTTTATACAACTTGATGTGAAGTAGGCCAGCGGTTCCCAACCTTTCTACCCTGGTGGACCGGTAAAATTAGATTAAATGTACTCGCCGACCGGCAAAAAATTGAAATGGCCGGAACAGAAAAAAATAACATATATTCGCGTAATATAACGCAATGTCGGGCACTCAATATACTTCTAGACAAAAAAGCACACTTAAAAACATTTCACACGCCCAAATTTAATAGTATTATATTTACAGTATAACCACCGATACCTTTGATGTTATCGATCTTCAGTTTGTCTTGTATTTTTGATATGACGATGTTAGACTGAGATGCTGATTCCAATAAATATCTAACTATGCTCTCATCTACATCTGATAATTTTCTTTTTTCAACAGTCTGTTATGAAATGAGGAATTTATTGGTTAATCAAATGTCAAGAAGAGAATTGGATTGATTTTTATCCTGTAAATATATAAAGATGAAAAGAATTTGTATGGAAATCCAATCACTAACTATTGTCTTGATACAATGGTAGTTTATATATGTTAATACGCAGTTCATTTTCAATGTTCCAGATGCATTGATGGGCTTCCTAACCCAGTATAGTTTTTTTAAAAACCTTATTTCTGTAATTTGAATATGAGTGATTTTTATGGCTTAAAAATTTGACTCAGATATACGTAAACTCAAGTAATGTTTTTACAGTTTATTTTCATATATTATCCAGGGAAGAGCAAAACAGTAGCCATTTGGACCAAACAGTAACTGGTACAAACTTGTTAGTTTCACTAAACATAATAGAGGATACAATAGGAACGTCTTATTTTCACTATCAGACACTTGTATTTGCATATAATTAGTAACTTTTTACATTTAATGATGCACGGGATAAAACAGATAATAAACCTTGAGGGCTGCAGAGCATTATGTCAAAGCACCATGAACAATGTGCTGTGGCCAGTTGAACAGTTGAAAGTATTGGTTTGATACAGCTTCTCTTTAAATTTTTCATTTTAATGGTAGCTATGTCCACTTCAAACCAAATTTAAACCTATTTAAATTCTAGTATATTAACGTTACTGGTATTGCAAACTGTGTGTATCACCCAGACTAATTCTCCTCCGGCTAATAAGAAGTATTATATAATATTCCAACAAAGCAATTGAAAAAAATAAGAATTATGTTATGCTACCCTAACAAATATGAAAAAATTCATGACTAACATTCAATATAGTCAAAGCATCAATTTGAATCCTTGAAACATCGACTTCAGGTCCTTGTAGCGTCACACTGTGCTTTGTATCATCTAGTACCAATTGTACTTTCTTATGCTTAGCTTGAAGTTCGGACAGTATTCCGCAGTTTGTAAGAATTCTGTCAATAGAGTAGCATAATATGGATCAAACAGCCCTAATTTAATAAAGTTACTTCGTAAAGAGGAACGAGTGTTTAGGAGTTGGTTGAATGGTGGACTTTGCGATGCTTGCTTGGAAAATGAAACCTCAAATACTTTATAATTTATTGTCCCCACTACAACTTCCCAAGATCATTTTTATTTAACCATTGGAAGGAACTGAATATATCTCCTGTAATAATATCAATTTGTTTACATACTTTTCGCCGTTTTTGCGCTCCTGTTCAATTCAACCAGAATTGCATTAGGATTAATATTTTTTGTTAAAAGAACGAGTTCTTTACCCATCAAATAATTAGAAACAGGGGCAGTTTTTTTAATACCAGAGTCAGAACCATAGGTATATATTTTTTAATTCCTAAGTCGAATTTTCAATTTCCACCAAGTCACAATTTCAGATTTCTGCAGTCAAGGTTTGAAAATAAAACAAATTTTCATAGTCATACGTTTATTAATTAACCAAACTCTGGAATGGAGTCTATTCAATAAGACAGATTTATTTCAAATCAAGAATAATCAGTTTTATCTTTGAATTTTAACAAACTTTCATTACAAATTGCATGGGTTTGTCCATAATGGCAATGGCATAATAATTCCAACACATGTTGGCATGAAGCAAATAAACAAACAAACATTAAAAGTTATCTGTATAAATCGGCATTCCACAAAAAGGGAATATTCACCTGTATTGTTCTTCATTAACTGACATTTCAGCAACAGTTGAATTGATAGAAGTTTCAATTTCTTTCATTATTTTATCAACAGATTCTTTCAATCCTGTTACAGTTACTATTGGTTGATTGGGTTGCCACCTGAATAAATTGAAGACATGAAAACAAAAATTCAGTCGTAAATAGAATAAGTATTTGAAAACAATGATTCATATTATGTCATCTATTATGAACAACATTGATTATCACCCTGTTTGAATGCAAAATTTAACACATGTGGGTAAGATGGTCTAGTGCAGTGGTTCTCAAACTTGAAAAAAATTTCATGACAGACTCCCTGCAATTTTTTTTATGATATTTTTAGTGCGCGGCCTTGTGCATCAAAACATATTAAGATCACAACATAAAATTAATGCACCATATAGTAAAAAAATACAACCAAACAAAAGTATATGCCAAAGTTTAATGAGATGGGTGCAATTGTTTCATTGTAAAACAGCATTTAGAAGCGGACTGGCAAAACTTCATAAATTGCCTACTGTAACTTCCTCCTAAATCACCAAACGTGCAAAAGGGCAGCCTCAGCTACACCTCTGCAGTTAGTTAACTTGTAATGGCAGCAATTGAACTATCACTGTGATGTCACATGCTCACAGCTCTGTGACATCACAGTGGGGCGGCTTAATAGAAACTGAAAGTTTTTAAAAAAGAAAACGGAAAAGTGAAATAATCACTAACCTGATGTTGATATCATTCTTAGTTTCTGGTTTATTCAAATAAGGACAAACGTTGAGTGATATTGCTTTGCTTAATTTATCTTTGTCAAATGTTTGAGTCAAAGTTAAAAACTTGGTAATGAAATCATCAAATCTTGTTTTGCATTCAGTATCGAATCCATCTTGGGTGTCCATGCCTGGATCCTGTAAAAAGAACAATAGGAAAAATGTCCCCAATGACCTTAAATGATAAATCAAAACAGACTGAACAAAATGAATGACTAAATGAACTCATATAATGACTCCAACAGATCACTGAAACTAATCAGTAATCAGTAAATTATTTTACACTTGCCAAAAATACGCATTGTACGTACAGACAAAAGACAGATAAAAAAAATGCATTCTATTGTGAAAGGAGACTCGATAAACCAGTAATAGTTATTTAGCAGCGTCAGCTATGGAGGAAGTCTAACATTAAATTATACTGTAGAAAAAAATCAAACATTTAAATACTAAGAAAAGCCGGAAATGAAAGACATACAGGCGACGGATATTCGAGTCTTGTTCATAACAATGAAAGCAAACGACTCCACACATGACAGACGAGGTAATTTAAAGATAAGTTCATGGCATTCTGATTCAATTAAACGTAAACAGGTTTGTCAGCTACAACATATGTAAACTTTTTCTGGTTAATACCTTTTCTGGAACAAACTTGACAAATTTCCCTTCTTTTGCAGTATGACACAATTCAACATTGGCCAAATCTTTGAAAACGTCTTTTATTTTGTTAACTTGCGCTTTAGTTAGTCGAATGAAGAAGAAAATTTTATCATGACATTCAGGTTTGTAAATGTAAGTGCTCAGTGTTTCATTTTTTTGAGATCTTGGAGTAGGCTTGGGTGGATCTGAATTTAAAATGAAAAGGAATGAGTGAATATTAAAAAGTCATGCTTCGGAAAAAAATTATGGGCATAGAAGTTGAAGCGACAAACTAAGATGTGTTGGCATCGCAGGTTACTCCCATGATCACCAACTAACCGAAGGTATAATGCATTGGGCAGAAAGGGTCTTGTTTCTAACAAAAGTTATAAAAAAGAAAGTACCGATGGGGATCATCTGTAGTCTATGGACATTGAAGAAAATATATAATGAAACTTGATGTTTGGTGCATTATTCTAAATGTTTAAAGGGGATGTGACGGCAAAGTACCATGAGAAACAATTATGGACAATAGGATTGCTAGACTTCTCACCTTCGTGAGATGGTTCATGTAACTGCTGGTCAATTATGACTTCCTCCACCATGAAGCCCACACAGATAAATGAATAACTGATTACCTATTACCATACCCGACATAGATTGGTAACTGGATGAGAGCCAGCTTACCCCACTTTCCTCTCAGTCTGCCATATGATTAAGCCACTTCACTGTCTTTCTCCTCTCAAACAAAATAAATAAACATAAAAAATCCAATCTTATTTTTTACCTTTTTTGCCACCTTTTCGTAGATTTTCCCGTTTTCACTTTTTTCAACACTTTTATGTAGATTTGAGAGTGAATGAAAATACAATTCAACTTCAACAGGATGTTGCCCAATAATAATTGATTCAGAACTAGGTTTTTTGAATCTTCTACACACTCGAGCAGTATCTAAAGAGTTTAACAGAAATTTTAATTTTTTTGTCAAAATTGGCGACTGTAGAATGAATGTAGTAATTGTGGTCACTGGTCATTTATATTGGCATAATTCAGTTTATTTCCAACTTTGTTGTGTCTGTGTAATGACAGTGACAACAGTGTTTTACCGGCGCTCTAGAAGTACCGGTATGTGTACCAATATGGAGGTAACTAATTTTGTTCGCTTACTTTACATCAAGTTGTGTAAAGGGACTGAAACCTATAGGCAGGGGATATATTCACTTGGCTAACACAGACAGTCCCCGAACTCGCGATAGAACTAAAATAAGGAAAATCGGAATTAAATTATGACCTAACCCTAACCTGGTACACATACTTAGTACCGTTCTACCTGCTGAGTCATACTTGATATGCTTTCAATTGAGTCATATTTATTGGTGCTTTCATTCATGTTCCGCTTTCAAGTGGCGGCTAATGTTATAGTGAATAAAAAAATTAGTATTTGTAAAACCTTATAGTTGGCGACAGTATGTTCCCCAGCTTTTCAAGTTACTGGGGGGGGGGGGGAGGGGGGGTCCATTTTAGGGTGTGGTAGATATTTGTTATTAGTAACAGTTTCAGTAGCTATGGTCATTTTAATGGCTGCCTGTTACTTTGCTCAGAGATCAGTCTCCCCTAGTTCTGAATGGGTACACCGGACTGTGGTTTTAGCAAATTCTCTTGGAGAAAAAACCTTACCAACTGGATAAAAGTCTTGCATGTATCATTTTAGTGGCCATCCATAACTTTACTCTGAGATCAGTCTCTTCTAGTTTTGAATGAGCACATCTGACTGCGGTTTTAGCAAATTCTTCTCGAAAAAAAAATGGGAAAAAAACTATTCCTATACCGAATCTGGTAATTGGAAAAAAGTATGATGCACTAAATTTCAATACTTACCAATATAGGATGCAAAGTAGACCAAAGTAATTTGATTTTCAATTCTATCAATTCTTGTCACAGGCCCACCATCAGTTCTTTTCTTACTCTCAAACGTAAGTCTGATTGTATCATTTGTTACTGAATCTGGAATTCCTGATGCTTTTAGGCAATCAGTTCTTAAAAGCCTTGAAGCCTGAAAAATGTAATGGCAAAGAAGCACGGAATAAAAGAAAGTTCAAATTTAGGAATATTTCAGCCACTGCACAGACCAAAGTTTCTTAAACTGGGACCTTGGCCCCACTGTGGCGACAAAGAGTAATTATCTGGGCGCTACTAGCAATGACTAGGAACCATTTGTAATGACTACATTGATTTAAAGTAAATTGACTATGATTTGAGATTAGTTTGAGTCACTAGTATATACCATTCGAGTATGTGGTACATTATTTTCACATGCTGGCTCGCTGCTTTGGATCCTATGCTTGATGATTTCGTGAGAAGGATTGCTGGAAAGTGGTTTGTACGACTTTCACAATCATTGAAAATGAAACATTTGCTTACTGGCTACCATGCCAACTGTAGTCACACTGAACAAAATCGTTTGATACCAGTATCAATAAAACAATAATTGATGCAAGAACTTCAGCTTACTTTCAAAGTCCGGTCTTCCAAAGGTTTCTTCCTAATTTTTTCCAAAAATGAATCTCTTTCACTGATATCTGTATGAAAGTTATAATAAGTATTAGGTGTAAAGGAATTTGGGTATTTCTCAGGAATGCAAAAAATATTGTACTTTTTATGGATTTTAGCTGTTTTAAAAATATTCTGAGTGCGCAAATTTTGCAGACTCACAAGGTGTCACTCAAAAATGGGCGCTCCAGAAATATATGTACCAATATGGTGGTAACAAATTTTTTTCGCTTACTTTACATCAAGATTTGTAAATGGACAGAAGCCTATGGGCAGGAGGTATATTCAATTAGCTGACACAGACAGTCCCCAAACTCGTAATAGAACTAAAATATAGAAAATCAGAATAAAATTACAGCCTAAGCTCAACGTGGTACACATACTACAGAAGTACCCAAAAATGTATTTCTGAAAAGGTAAACTCCTAAAATAGCTGGGAGGATTAACTATTCTCGCACCCGATAGAAACTGTAATCGAATGAGAGGCAAAGGTGATATGATTAAGTATAAATATGAAAATCCTATCCTTGATTGATAGCCCTACATTTAGACTGATTAATGATATGGATTATAAAGTAAAGTTCTTCCAAGGGTATTCATAACAAGAAATTTGGTATATTTTTTACCGGAAATGAGAATCTGAACCCACCAAAATCATCTCCATATTCTACGAGATAAACGCCCTGTATATCTTGTTTTTTCAAAGATACAGGCGACGCTTCATTAGTAGAGCTAGTTTCAAGGTACATTGTCAAAGTATCTTGTGTTGTTGCTTCTCCAACTCCCTGTAAATGGTATGAATGGGAAACTGAAATGAGAGTGGTGTATAATTTATTATTATGGATACATTCTGGAATAATATTTCTGAATTTGGAATATAAAATATGTGCTTATCGGATGTTTCACCAATCATCTTGTTTATACTTGGTTTAATTACGTAAAATAGATAATAAGTGAGATGCTTTTTAGGGAATGGTTGTATTACTGTATCTGTTTTAAAATTTTGATATGAATTACATAACTCATTGGTCAATTGTCGGCCAAGGATTTTAAGTGTAGTTGAAGTAATCAAAAATTAGTCTCAAAAAACCTGTAAAAGATTAGGCTAGAATTGGAACTTTGTAATAAAATAATTTGAATCAAAATATTAGTTATGAAGCATATAAAGCAGTTTGTAAGCCCCAACTCGCTATAACACTTTCAAAATGAGAATAAAAAAATTTTGTGAAATGGTAAAGTAGAAGAATAGTTAATCTGGGGTCAAAGATTAGTGTTGGTTGGGCATGTTCAAAAGAAGTATTGAATTTGGTATAGCAGGATAATTGAAATAAGCATAGTTGCGATAAGCAAAAATTCATAAAAACATTCCACTATATAGTACTTTGTTCTAGTATTTAGAACATTGAATGGGGTGCAATATGATGAGCTATAGGAATACGATTTCTATAACACCTCTGATGACCCTGTGCAAGTTTGCATCCCACAGGGGATAATTATGTGCAACAGGACCACTCCTTGTTGTTGTAGGGTGGTTTGAGTAACCGCTGACTTTTTGCTTTGGCTTTTTCCAACATCCTGTCTATGCATCCGAAATGACTGGCTAACTAATTTCATACTCGACATGGACTGTTGACTGGACGAGAGGCTGCCATATGATTAAGCCATCTTTTCCTCTCTCCCCTCCCCCTGGGATAAGTTTAAAAAATCTCATCCTGACTGTGATAGCGTTGCACATTGAACAGAAATACATATACCGTAAATCTGATGATTCAAAATAGTGCTACCTCGATGATGAAGGTTTGCTCAAAATATGAAGGAATTGATTTAGGAAATATAGAGATGTCTTTTCCATCAAACTTTTGATCTTGTTTTCCTGAACATGACTCACAATCTGAAACAAGATAAAAAAAAATTGAAAGAATATAACAGACTTTAACTTTATGTATCTGAAAAAAAAAACAGTGAAATTATTCCTACACCTGACAAGGATTGGTAACTGGATAAGAGGCCGTGGTTCACCACATGATTAGACTGTCTTATTGGGCTTGTCTGACTGTTGTAAATTCGTAAAAAACTAAAATTACAGAAAAATTTAGATAAACATTCTTAAAATTAGTATTCGCTATTTTATTCTGTCAGAAGTTAACTATTGTTTTTACAATTTGATATCCTGACTGTGATAGGTGTGTACGACGTGGTAAGATTCGTAGGGTCTGCTTATATGCGAATTTTTATAAAATCGTCGTTTTAAGACCGGTTTTCAGAGAGCCGGCTTATATGCTCGATCGGCGTATATGTGAGAATATACAGTAACTATTTTATTGTCTATCATAAAATAATAAGTGCTGCAAAGATATTTTCAAATATAAATATTTCTATTTCACAATTATCAACATACCTTCTTTACTCTCAAATACAATGAGCAATCCATCAATCATTCTGATAACACTTTTCACAGGCCCGCCGTTCGAACGTTTCTTATTTTCAAAATGCATTTTCACTGTATCAATGTGCTTTGATGGATCAATGTTTTGAGCAAGAACACATCTGTGAAATAGATAATAGAGGAGATAAGAGATAAAAAATTATATCTATGAACAATATGGCTCTGTGGTTGAAGCATTTGCATTAACTATGTTGGCATCGCCGATTAAAAAAATCGAGAGTTTAAATCCCACCGCGACCAACCCATTCACTGTACGATAAATTGGGTAGGCAATGCCAAACTGGAATGATTCTGGTTCTTCCAAACTACAATAGTTCGTTAACTATCAGTGGCTGCTTGTTCAAAGACTTCTTCAGAACAAAAGTCATTCAAATACTGTAAAAAAAAACTTTATCCTTTGTCTTGCTTTTTCTCCCTTGCTCTCATACCAAGCAGTGGCTGGTTATACAGAGCATATAAATACATCGTATATAAAAATATATTTATCTCCCAGAATTCTGCACATCTGGGATTTCTTATTCTTTCGTATCTTAATATGTTACGTCCTAATGTTTTTATTTACCATATATTAGAATGTAAGTTAATTTCGATTACATATCAAGATGTCACTAGTGTCACGACTAAAACAAGAGGGAAATTCGAGACAAATTCGATGAGACAAAACTCAAAAAAAAAAAGTTTATAACATAAATTTGTAAATTTTACAGCAAGGCCTTTTGAATATTTATTGAAATTAAATTGAATAATGTAATAAATAAACAATTACATTTTATCAAATAGTAATTTACCCATATCAAGCATAAACCATCAAATAATTTGTTCAAAATGGAAAATTTAGTTTTATATATTCTGCCTAGTACTACTCAGTAATAAATAAAAGATCACTTTGGACGTTTCCTCATTCAAATTGAATTTTCATGTAATGTGGTTTTTTCAAATATTCATTCCATTGTTATGGCTCAGTTATACAGATTCAAATAGATTTGGCATGGTTACTGATAATTTTGACTCACTGGCCAACACAAAAGGCAACATTATATATACACAAATAACCACAAACAAAGGTATAGAGATTTCAGGGACACATGACAAAACATAAAATAGGGTGTGATACCCCAGCGGTTATAGACTCAAATGTTTTTGCATAGCAGATTACACATCCCAATTTAAATTTTCAAATTCCATGTTCCAGCCTCACCCACGGTGTGATAAATTGGGTGAAAAATGCCGAAAATGAAAAGATGATTTGTTTCAAAAAATAGAAGATTGTTAGATAACAGTCAGTGGCTGTTTAATTAATTCTTTATTCAGAGCAAAAGACCTGAATAAGCGAGATATAAAAATATTAATCCTTCATTTGCTAGACATAAAGTATTGAGTTCTATTAATTATTTCTGAAGCGTGGGTGTTAAACAAAGACTCAGTGTAATGAACAAACACACAACGCTGGCTATGCTTGCTGTTATCACACAGTAAACAAAACCAGCTGATTTATGTTTGAATAAACTGTATTTATAAATGAGTCATAAGATAGTTTGGCAAATAAAGACTCTTGTGAAACTATAGTATCATTATCGGGAAATTTTACAAATGCTTATTCGAATTCCATAATTTTATAAAATATTTTAGATTCATTTATACTGTTCATTTATAGATACTATGTATAGTTTATTGGCCCCTAAAGGTGTATTAAATGAAGTAAAATATTTTAGAATGAAACAAATATGACTAAGATATATAATGTGACTTTATGAACAACCAGTATAAGTAAATATGCTGCCATATGCTACCCATATTTGATTTCGTATTAGGATATGCCATGAAAGTGAAACCTAAATTATGTATAACAAAAATAAAAGAAGACTCAATTTAAAATAATATTATGTCATACACTGGAATTTTGAGTACAGTTATATATCACTATGCAATACAATAAGCCTGAATCCGGGTCATTGTGACTGGTTCGGATTTGACTTCTTATTTTAAAATCAAAATTTGTCATCTGCCAATCAATGTTTTACCTTCACATCAAAAATTGAAACTTTCAATGAAAAACAAATACTTTCATATTCTAAATCCTTCAGTATAAATCTTTTTTGCATCAAATTTGAATTTTGCCTTAATCAAATTTCATATTATAACATCTCTAATAAAGACTCACATAGATCCTTCAGTTTCAGGCATCTTCTTTAATGTATTCCAGTAATGAGTTTCAGTGAAAAGTTCTTCTTGAATCGGATCAAGTACAGCGTGTTGAGGGCCTTCATTCAAAGGTCTACTTGGTGTTGGAGGGCGTAAGTCTGGCATAGATGGCGCTTTGCCCATTCTTGATATTCCAGCAGAGTTAGCATTCGGCCTTCTTTTTCTCCGACCACGATTGTCTGGTGTTGAGTAACCGCTATCATCAGAAGTGGCTGATGAGCGTCGAGGCCCAGGACCAGGTTCATTAAAGTTTGGGGTAGGTTTGGGACCTGCATTAGAAAAGAGAAAGAATAGTGATCAATTATAGTAATAATTAATAGGGCTTAAATAAGTTGGCATCATAGATTTCAAATCTTGGGTTCAAAATCCAAGGCCACCAGTTTACATTGTTTGGAACAAAAGCACTGCATCATGAGATGATTTGTGCAATGATTTTGGCCTACTCTCACTAATTTCAATTTACATGTAATTTAAAGTATTTTAACTTAAACATTGACAAGTCCTACAACTGACTCTTTTTTAGAGAACAATAATAATAAAACTTGGAATCGCCAGAGTAAAACCAAATTAGCTTATGTCACATTTTTCAGAAATGGACTTTTTTAATCTACTGTCATTAGGGATAAACACCAATATTTTGGTCTAGTATTCAAAACTGGGTACTCCTGAAGTATGTGTACCAAGATGGTTGACACCGGAATGTAGTATGTGTACCAGGTTAGGGTTAGGCCATAATTTTAGGAATAAATACTACAGGAGTCACTTGGCTAGTCCCTGAACTCGTAATAGAACTGAAATATAGTAAATTGGAATAAAATTATGGCCTAACCCTAACCTGGTACACATACTACGTTCTGGTGTCCGCCATCTTGATATGCATACTACGCAAAGCTGTACCTGTTTCACTTTTGATTTTAGGTAATTTCTAATTTTTATAGTTGGATGCTGAAACCAAAATTATAAACATGTGACTTTTTCAAAACCAAAATGTGGCTTTTTTGAATTTCTGTCATAATGGAAAAGCGGCAATCTTTTGGTATAAGTTTCAAAGCTGTACCTGTTTTACGTTTGATTGCAGGTGACGCCCTATGTCCATTTTTATTTTGGAACCGAATTATAACAAAAATACAAATTTCTCAAAACCTAAATTTTGACACAAGCTTATTTGGTTCTACAGTGGCAATATAAAAATAATCTTAATTTAGAAAACAATTATCAATCTAATCACCTTCACTATCAGCCCATTGTATACTCAGATTACTCATTGGTCCAGCATTTACTCCTTCATGCCTTGCTCGGCAAGCATCATTCTGAACAAAATTCATCAATTAGATACCAGTATTCTAAACCAGGGGTGTGCAACCTGCGGTCCAAATGCGTACACCAAGAAATAATTGTGCGGCCCACGGAGAAGGGACTATTTTGAATGATGCATAGCCCACGAATCAAGTTTTAAATTTAGTTTCTGGTACATGCGAGTAATTCCATTCCCTTTACCCAGCGTCCATTTTATTATCTATGCTCATGACGTTACAATGATTTTTCATGCCTGCAACTACTAGAAAGGCTATGATAAATAAAAGTGCAGCCCGCGGCCCTGTGATATTCATTTCCTATGAAGCTGGCCCTTTTCTCTCAAAAGCCCAGAAGCTCTGAGAATAACATTCACACCTTGCCTAGATCCTTATTTATGGCTTGCTTGGAACCTTGTTTTTGGCAAAGATGTGAAACACCTTAGACAGAGATATTACTCACATGATTTCTAAATGTTACATATCCATGAAATCCAGGATTCCTCCTGTTTGGTTTGAACAAGCAATGTTCGAGAGGTCCAAACCTAAAAAAATGATGACACAGTATGGTTGGCGTGGAACACAGGTGGAGGTTTAAAAACCAAAAATAACAAAACAAAAAAAATCATTGTTACACACGAACAAATTTTTCAAACTTGATTAATGAATTTATCTTCTGACTAGGAGTGGTACTGGGAGGTAATATGTAGTGTCAGAAGCTTTTGGTAGCTTTGCCTGTAGCTTTGCTTAGAAAAAATGACCTTTGATTTCTGAGTGAGTTCTCGTGACCTTGTCTTGAGAAAAAATAATAAATGAAATCTTGTGTACAAATAAGGATCAAAGGTTTTCAGTGTAATCTTGCATTTATCCTCATATTTTATGGTTCTAAAATGAATTTCTGGTTAACTATTCCAATACCCAATATAAATTGGTACCCAAATGAGTGACCATAGTCACCTTTATAATCAGGCTTTCTCATTAACTTTCATCTCCGCCATGACAAATATAAAAATCTTATTTATTTATCAAAGATAAATAATGTGTGCAAAAAAGTTCAAGTTCATAAACTGAGAAGCGTCCTACCTTTCGAAATGTGAACTGAAAGCTAGATGATTGCACAAATGCTGTGGTATCTGAGTGACATATAAAATTCTCCTCCATTGATCTGCATCGCCTCTGTCAAATCTTGGATTCTGTCTATGCGGTTGATCGGTTCTTTCGTTTCCATATTTATTGTCCCTGCCTCCAAATCCTGGATTCTGTCGATATGGTTGATCGGTTCTATCGTTTCCATAATTATTGTCCCTGCCTCCAAATCCGGGATTCTGTCGATATGGTTGATCGGTTCTCTCGTTTCCATAATTATTGTCCCTTGCTCCATATCTTGGATCACCTCTTTGGAATCCTGGATTCTGTCGATACGGTTGATTAGTTCTTGCGTATACATAACCATCGTCTCTTGCTCCATATCTTGCATTACCTCCTTCAAAGCCTGGATTCTGTCGATATGGTTGGTTAGGTCTTTCATTTCTAAAACCCTCATTTCTTGGACCGTATCTTTGATTCCTTTGTTGATGTCTGGGTCCTGTGATCATTATAATATAAATTTGTGTTTGGAATAAATTTATTACACTGATGCTAGAACACAATTCACTCTTGATTGAATTCTTAAATCTTTTAAATGCACAATTTTGATCCCTGAAATTCTTTCATTCCTGTTATAAATTTGCGAGTGCGATGGACTAGCAGTTGAGCCATTAGACCCAACAGACGTTCCTCCTATATTCAAATCTCATGGCTCGGGTTCCAAATAGCGACTGTCAGAATGGAGACTTCATAATAGCGACGTAATCAAGTGAGCGACTGTCATAATGGCGACCGCATTAAAACAGCCCCCCCCCCCAATACACCTTCCATCCCCCACACTCTAACCCTAACTTTGTTTTGTCATTTCTGCACCGAAAGTTAAGTTGCTATCATAACAGTCGCTGTTTTAATGCAGTCGCCATTATGACAGTCGCTGTTTGGACAGTCGCTCACTTGATCACGTCGCTATTATGAAGTCGCCATTATGACAGTCGCTATCCAGCCTGGATACCAAATGTCATGCCGCCAATGGACCAAGGATATAATAAATTATCAATGCCGAACCAGAAAGGCCCTGGCTCCTTCGGATACCAGCAGTTTCTTTTATGTCTTTATTTATCCGTGGCACCTTGTATAAGGCGGGCCTTGTTCGAAAAAACAAAAAAAATAAGCCCCGTATAAAAAATACAATAATGATTGACACTTTAACAGTTTATATATATTTCCCGCTTGGCAATATTGGTATTCCAGAATTTCACCCAATTTTACCGCATTCGTGAATTATCACGATCTTTGACGAGCCCCAGGGTACATATATTTTTTCATTTATATTCAAGTTATAAGGGAAGATCTAGCACTCCTATGGAGCACTTTTGAGTCCTGTGTTTCCATTCCCATATGAAATATAGAACTTTTCATACTGTATTACTGTATGTTGTCGTTTTAATATTATTTATTTACTTTATCTTCTTACAGATTTTCAATCCCAAAATTTGGTATAATCATGCTAATGCTGTGTGTTTTTTAACTTCTGAAATATAAATATATTTTTGATCTGCCTACCTGTGTCATATCTTGGATATTGTTCTGTAAGTTGCTGTATTACTGTAAGCTTGTAACTATCATTTCCAAAGGTATATTCATTTAGACCAGCATTAAGAAATTTTTGCAAACCTAAATAAATATCAAAAATGTTAGAAACAAATAAATTGTTACATATGGTGCAAATAATAAATAGATAAGATGCCTTAATCATATGAATAACTATGGCCTCCCTTCCAGTTACCAGTCCATGCCGTGTATAAGAATAGATAACCAGCTATTTGTTTTAGAAGCATAGTTTTGATGGTAGAGGAGGCGATAAACTGTGCCCGCGAGAAGTCAAGCAATCTTTTTGATCATAATTATTTCCCTCGAGATTTTAACCTGCATACCCACTAACCAACGTCAAAATAATTCATAGACTAAGATGAGCAGTCGAAAATAAGGCAAGATAAAATGGAAGATTTGATTGTTTTCACCAGTACTGAAAGTTCTAAGCATGCTTGCAATGGTAATGCTGATTATCCTGCATGGCATCACAGTTTTGAGTTTTATTAAACATTTTTAGAAATTAAAATTACATTTTTTCTATCAAAAATCAATATGCAGAAATGTGAATAAAAGCCTCATTATTCTGGTGTCACAGATTAGTAAATATGTCAAACATATTTCTTGTCCACCACTACGGTAATGGTGTAATAATTTTGGAAGAGAATGTCAATATAGAAAATGATGTTCCAATGTATTAGTGGCTGCTAAACCAGAGCCTTTCATGAAGTGAAAATATGACGAACGAATCCTAAAAACATCAAAACTCAAAAAAAAAGGTTAGAGAACTTCTGAACGAATTTTTTAAAATTAAAAAAAACACCCAAAAACTACAATTACCATGCGCATTTTTAAAATTGAACACTACAACATCGTCTCTTTTCTCCACATCTTCTATTATATCGAGTCCTATATTGTTTTCAACAAACAGTTTTAATTTCACTTTATTAACAGAAAGGGGAAAACCAGTAACATGTACTGTGTTGTTTTCCATAACTCTAAATAAATCTGTAAGACGGGTAACAGGATATGAGTTTATAAAATGGATTTTGTAAGTATTCCATGTATTGTATCTCCAGCTAATACGCCAATTTTTCATATCCTATTCTATGGGATTAACTCATAGGATGGCTCGGTTTATTTGTCTTTTCCTGGAATACCGAAAAAAGGGACAGTAATGTGCCTTCCCCATCAATTTTCATTGATAGGAAGGCATTTTTATGCTTCAAATCGGGAATATGTCTGCTGTAATTATTGATGCTGAAAATTTAGTAGGCATTGCTGAACCAAAGAGAGAAGGTGCTTGCAGGGACTTGTTCAAAGAAAAAGCCGTATAAAGGCATGGCGGTGTGGCTCATCGTGCTAAGCGTTAGGAATACGCTCGCCACCGCACCTCTAATTAGTCTGCGTGGGGTTCGCAGGTTCGAATACCATGCGGGATGGTTATGTGCGAGAGGGTTGCTGGAATCCTCGCCGCTGTAGGGTGGTTCACGTAACCGCTGGTCGGTTACGGCTTCCTCCACCACCAAGTCCATGCTTCCGAAAAAATAAAATAACTAGCTGATCCCATACCCGACTTGGAATGGTAACCGAACGAGAGGCCGTGGTTCGCCATATGGATAAGCCGTTTTATCGACTTTCCTCTCCCCCGGGATAAATATGTAATTCCTATCCTATCCTATAAATATGTTGCATAAATAAATAAGTATATCGTATACAGTATAGGTGCCCTTGTCAAAATTTGCTAATAGTTTTTTTGTTATATTTGGCGAGATGATTATTTAAAATATAAGAAGGGTGCTTAAATAATAAATTATTAGATATGAAGAAAATAAGAGAAAAAAAAAACAGAAATTTCGATCATTTAAATACTTTAAGCCAGGGGTGTGCAACCATTAATACATGAGGGCCACATTCAAATAACTTGGAGAAACAGCGGGCTGCATCTTTTTTACCATATGCTCTTAAGTACTTGTACGTACAAAAATCCTGAAAATTGATCTTATGACATGTGTTGTTCGCTTCACTCAAGCTAGCTGTTAGGGCATTAGAACGTCATAAAATTTGGACTCAGGTATAGGCTTTGCAACGCAAAGGGATTGGGATTACTCAGACATATTAGATTAAACTAAGTTAGAATTTTGTTCCGCGGGCCGCACACAATTCAAAATTGGCACGTATCATCGATCCGCAAAATTTTTCCTTGTGGGCTGCATTTGGCCCGCAGGTCACACGTAGCACACCCCTGCTTTAATCGACTATTGAAAATAGTTGAAGTTGCAAGCAGGCTACTTTTATAATTTTCATATTTATTCAGAGTGTTATTGGGGCTTAAAATTTCACCCAATGGTCGGGAACACTTTTTTTATAAAATATGTGAACAATTTATTTTATTATATTTTCCGCCTCATATTGCTTGTCTGCCAATCTTTCCAGCAAACTTGGTGCTGTACTGAAACTTCACCTTATCGATAACTTAGATTTGTGTCCATATATTTGACCATTGCTCTCTTTCCAATTAGATGATGTTTTGACATTTTGTCCACTTGGAATTCTATCAGCTTTATTTATAAAGGTCATATAAAGGTAGCGTATCTAGGCGCTATTTTAGTAGCTATGCCACTGTGCGTACTATACAGTATTTATCCTATCCTATTCATATCCAATGGGAAATCTGTCCAGTCCTAGCTGCCATGTACTTTGGACAACACAGCCCACAGATATGAATCGTTCTATATACACATGAAGTAAATTTAATATTTACCTTTAAACTGATATATTGATATTAACCTAAGCTAAGTAAACACCGAATACAATACAAATCGGCCCGAAACGAACAGCCTGAAGAACATCTGAAAAGTGGAAAGATTTTGCAAAAAGTAACGAACCCAACTTTGCATTGCGGGGGAATTACCTTTTCTCGTCGACAGGGATTTTTATTGGACAACAGGTTGGTCGTTGTAGTGCAGCATCGGTGATTAGGGTATAGAGCAGCGTTTTCCAACCTTTTTCGGTCGCGGACTATTTTCTCATCGGCGAAAACCTTTGCGTACTCAAGGTGCATTTATTGCAACCGTACTCTGTGTGAAGAGGCAATAAAACCAAACACAACAGAATTTTATCGAATTTCGAAATCGGAAATTCGAAGCGATTACGCGTCCGTTAAATAAGCCGGCTTTTTAAGTGTATAATGGCCTTTTCTGACGCACAATATTCAATCCATGACAACGACGAGGGTTTAAAATGTCTTTCTATTTTTATTTAATTGTGTTCATGGTAAATCGCGTTGCGTGCACTTACGACAAGATGGAAGCATTACTTCTTTAAAATGCCACGGCAATCTGCTAACATAATAATGTGAGAATATATTGCCCGATTATATTTGGTTTTGATACGTATTTTTAGCGATCTTGCGAATTCGTTATCGCCGTTAGAAAAATCCTACTGTTTGCTATAAATTTCAACTTGATTTAGAACATATTAAAAATATATTTAAAGTATATTAGTAAATCAAAAAGACATATCCATCGCCTTGCTTTATTATTTTTAATTTAATTGTGATCATTTTAACAGCGGTTGTGTTGACGAAATAAAAGCAATACTATGACAATCCGTGGACACAAAACCGCGTGGTAAAGTGCCCGATTATATTTTGTTTTGATTCGTATTTTTGTAAATTCGACAAATATGGGCTGTTCGTACAACGCTTACGGCGCTACATTACTGTACGTACCAATGTGGAGGCAGTAAAGCAAAGAATTCTTAAGGGAAAATGCCCTGGTACTTATACTAAAGTAGCACCCGAAATGTTGCGATTTGCAATGTCTGAAAAAGCGTTTTTAATCGGTCGCGGACAATCATAAAATAAAACTTGTGATGTTCTCCGTTTTTTTTTTCAAGTATTTTGTATTGCCGCTTTTCAATTTAGAAAATTTGGGTTGCCACCATTGACACCAACCAGAAAAAAATATATTCCTCGTTGTTCGAAAACCACTTAGATATCTATCGATGCGTGTGCAGACTCGTGTTTTCATTGGAAATCCGCAAGTGAGTTGTGAAATACAATCGTTTGATTAAGCGACGCGCACGTGACCTGTCGCCTCACCTGTTACCAAATTTTCGAATAGTAAATTGCTATTCTAATAACTGAATATTCTAATATATGCCTAGCCCTACTTAGTAACCAGTAAATATTGACTCGATTAATGCTATGTGAATGAACTTGCTTTTCGTGTTTTATGTAAATTCTAACGTAAATCGTAACTTGGCTGATAGTTAGGTTTCGCAAGAACGTTTGCGACCCGCAGTGAATTGCTGGCTCGTTGCGGACTCATTCAAACGGACTCGGGTTGGGAAACACTGGTATAGAGAAATATATCACCAAGAACACCAGTTTTTAAATTTTTTCCTTGTACTGGGTCAGGGGTGGGCAACCTTTTTCGGATTGCGTGCCAAAATCGTCAAAATTTAATGACAAAATTCCTCCGCGTGCCGACCAAAATTGAGAACATACTACTGCCATTCCTGAAAATATATATAGGAATAATGTTGTTATTTTAGTGAGATTTGACTGTTGTTTTTCAAATCAATTATATTAATCGGAGTAGAACTAGTTAATGTAGACTTTCTTAGAATTATAAACAGCCATAACTTGTTTTTTTCACTAGGCATAAATTAAATAACTCCAACCCATATCACAATGACGAATCAGTTTTAATATAAATCATCTCAGTTCCACACTTGTTAGGACATTTTCGTGCATACTAATTTACTATATAACAAGGGTGGCCAACACGTCGAGCGGTCGATCGCCACGTCTCAAATAGTCGATCGCGCCTGATGTTTAAGTCAATGTAATAACATAGCCTGACAGAGCATATTAGAACGTAATAAATAAAAGTTTCACCATTGCCAAGATTTAGAAATGAACATGCTGAATATCATATGTTTTGACCGAGAAAAGATCCTATACCAAAAGAATACCTTCTGCGGCATGCGAAAGTTATTGTCTCACTCGCGCCCCAAGAGTAATGTGGTAGATTGTATATGCAACGGAAGCAGTGGCATTAGGCCTTAAATCTGAATAACCAAATTAACAAATAAAATGGAACTTATTTTTTGTGACGATTCCATTAAAAATGCGCCCACTAAACCGAGATTATTTGCAACGGTGGAATTTTTTGGCCACGCCTGCGATATAAGATACTCATTATTCATTGTTTGTAATGAACTATTCACCGAATACTATAAAATGTATTCTGAGGTGAAAATAAAACAAACTGACAATTAATAGTGTTCACGATGAATCCCAAAAGGATGATATGAACTGTGTAAAGAAAAAAACTGTGCTGTATTGAAGATCGCGTGTTATTGAAGATTGCGGTATATACAGAAGCGTAAATTGACGACAAATAGTTACAAATGGATAATACTAATTACCACGTTTTTTATTTTACATTCGTGTACAGATTTGTTTTTCTGGGATAATGTTCTTATATTCTTGAGGTAAATCTTTCTCTATGCCGTTCAAAAAATTAGACTTCCAATTATTATGAAATCATTGAAAATTAAACTTAATGTTTATTTGAGTTGTAGGCCTACTTAATCATTACGGCCAATTGATTGTGCAACGAGAATACGTGCTAAATTTTTAATGATTTTCGCGGAATACATAATAATTGAAATTGACGGATGTTACAAACCTCAATTGAATATATTTCGGAGCACAAATATACAGGCTTGCCCATGGGACCTATATTTTGTCTCATTCCCATCCCATAGCAATTAAGTATGTCCCATCCCATCCCATGGGATTCCATTGGAAAAAAATTTAATAAAAACTGCTAAATTTAGGTTTAGCGTCTACTAAATAGGACTACATGTACAAATAGACATTCAAAACTACAAAAATTACGGACTTTGGCAACCTTATATTCATAACTATCATCCCCTTCACGAAGAATATTGTTATTGCTGAATATATTTTGCTCTTTATAAT